CGCTGGCGCAAGAGTTGGTCTGAACACGGCCTTCAGGATGTCGACGAAGAGATATCGGAGGAGGCAGTTAGAGCTGCAATCAAGAGGTGTAAACGTGATAAAGCGTGCGGGCCAGACGACCTTGGCAACGAATGGTACCTGGATCACTTTGACTCAGTTGCGCCGATACTCACACTGGTCTTCAATAACAGCTTCAACACTGGTGTCATACCGCGGTCATTTGATGAAGCTTTTATATTCAGTATCAGCAAGGGTGGAGACACAAGTCAACCACTTAACTACAGACCGATTGCCCTTCTCAATACGGACTACAAGATACTGACAAGGGTGTTGGCGTGGCGAGTGAGGACGCACATCACCCAGCTGGTTCACAGAACTCAGTTTGGTTTCGCACCAGCAGAAACATCCACGATGCGATTGATTTGTTTGAAGCAGCAAAAGCTGGACAACGTGATACCAACGCTCAAGGTGCTACATGGTTCCCCATACCGATCATTACAAGACAAAGCCAACGATTCGCTTGACAGAGACTTCATGATGGAAGTGCTGAGAGCTAAAGGTTTTCCAGTCAAGTTCTGTAGATTCGTGGAGTTGGTGCACTCAACAACGACGGTGAAGTTCATGGCAAACGGCTTTTTGTCAGAAACCGTACCGGTGACAAGCGGAATACGACAAGGGTGTCCACTCGCACCGTTGCTGTTTATTATCGCTGTCGACTTGTTATATGATGAAGTAGATGCCGATATTGAACTGAAGGGTATTCCTGTTGGGACCAACGGCATGAAATTCACTTAGCATAGCTGGATATGCGGACGATACGGCTATCTACATACTAGAGAGAACCATGCAACCAGCAGTGATACAGGCGGTGGACAGGTTTTCACGGGTGTCTGGGTTACGACTGAATGTGAAAAAGTCGACTGCAGTACGACTAGGAAACAGGTACAATCGGGCAAAGAATGAAGACACAGAAACTCTGCGGCATACGGTGGAGAAGATTGCAGTGGTGGGAACGAATGTACACCTAGAAGAAACGGCAAGCACACGATACTTGGGCCACATTTTAGGACCAGAGGACACCACACTCGAAGCATGGGGAAAAGCTTTCAAAGCACTGATAGTACGACTCACACTCGCGGTCGAAAAACAAACACAGTTCAGCAGCGGGCCCAAATTGCAGCTTCAATTATCATTCCCAAGCTACTCTATGTGGCTCGTCATGCATGGCCACCCAAAGCGATTATAAAGGAGGCGGGCAAACGCATCAGGAACTTTGTGTGGAACTCAACTTTCGCAGGAAAAAGCGCCCAAGGGATGGATAAAATCATCGCTAGCAGAGCAGAAAACAAAAGTTGGGGATTGGGTGTGCCAAACCTCAGGACAGAACTACTAGCAATGAGTGCTACAACTGTTCGCAGTTGGGCAATTACGGAAAACGAACTGGTTCAATGGTCTGGTGATATGATTCAAACAAAAGGGGCTGGGCAAGCCGAACATCTAATACCTGTCGCTACAAAACCGCGAATAGTAATTAATGGAGGCTTGTGAGAAACTGGCCGAGCGTGGGCTGCGTATAAGCTTGCCGACAAGGCAGAACTCAATCTCCCTG